GCGTACGTGGCCTCTGAGGCCAACACTGCTGATGTCTTCACCAAGGCACTTGCGCCTTGTGATCATCAGCGTTGTTGCACGCAGTTGGGTCTTGTGCCTGTCTTGCCTCACTTGCTTTGCTCTTGACCTTGCTTGTACCTTCGCCTATATACACTCTTGCTCTTGCTTGCTTATCTCTTGTATATCTCTATATATGATCTTGCATGTGAACTGGCCTTCTGGCCTTTGAACTTGTGCTCGGAATGCGTGGTGACTTTGTGATCCACCCTGAGCTTTGCTTTGCTTTGCTTGACTGGTCTTGTGACCCCTTGTTCTCCCCCACTTTGCCTATGGGGGTGTGTCAGAACATATAGCTTACTTATTTCTGTAGGCTATAGTGGGGTATCCCATAGGGGGTACAACCCAATTAGGGTTTTCCATTTGTACCCACTTCGTTTCATAGTCATTCATTCCTCGTTCATACTTTCTCACAGGACCCTGAGGGGGGAGGGGGTCTACCGAGGGGGGACCTGGGACAAGAAAGAGCGGGGGCGGGGGGAGGGACGGAGTGCGGTAGTGGAAGAGGCGGTAGTAGGGGACTGACTCGTCAAACGTGACGTCCTGGGAGGACAGAACACAGCGAGAGGTGGGGTGGTAGAACTGCCACCCAGGCGCGTCGGGGGGGAACCCCAGGAAGACGCAAGGAGCACCACGAGGGGACAGCTTGTCCGCAGACAAGTCGCGGACAAACGCCCGAGATCCCCAGACCCGGAACGCCGACGCATCGCCAACCTTACCCGTCCACAGCAAGGCTGGGGAGGTCTCCGGCCTGGAGACCCTGGGGTGGAGGTTGATCTGATGCGCCGCGTACCTGACCGCAAACGGCCACAGAAAATGGGGGGCAGCCGCATGCATCGTGGACGTACGAGTGACGTCCATGACCATGCCAATGCGGCACTCAGCAATCACATTTTTCTACGGAGAGTACGGAAGCGTGAAGGTCTGACGGATGCCTCGTGCGCGACAGTAGGCTCTCAGAAGGCCAGAGGAAAACTCTCCGCCTCTGTCCGAGTGCAGACGCAGAACAGGAAAGTCCGAGCCAAAGCTCTTCTTGAGCTGGAGACGAGCTGCGCGGATCCAGTCGATCAGCACCTCAGTGACATCACCCTTGCTGTGCAAGGGGAAGACTGCGGTGTAACGCAAGTAGTCGTCAACAACAAGCAGGAAGTAGCGCTCGTGACCCTGTCCACGGACGCGGGCTGGGCCCCACACGTCCATGTGAAGCGTCTGCAGAGGGGCCTCTGTCGGAGGAAACTGGGAGGAGTGAGGGGCAGCCCTCTGGCGCCCTTCGACACAGGGGACACAGGAAGGGCCAGGCCCCTGAGGAAGGGGAGGGAGGGACGTGGGGAGACCAGAAACAAGAAGACGATAGGCCATGCCTATGAGCCGAAGTTGAGAGGGGTGACCAAGGCGGTGGTGCTAGAGGAGAGTCTCATGAGAGAGGAGACGACACGAACAGGGGGCAGACTCAGGTTCAGACCTGGACGCTGCAGCATACACCTGACCTGACGCAGCTACCCTACCAGACTCAGCAACTGGAGGAGACGTAGTGGTCAGTGTGTACAGGCTCGACCCCGGCTGACGTGTAAACGTAGCCAAGTGTCGGCCTGTGCGAGCCTCTGTGCAGTGTGTCACTCGCTGACGGTCAGGAGTGAACTGGTGCACTCCCCCATCCTGTAGGTTAGCACCACTCACCAAGTTCGTAGAGAACGTGGGGAGGTAGAGACCAGATAGGGTGCCAGAGGGAGCCGCCGGACACGGGAGGACTGTGGAGAAGTGAGACAGGACAGGACCCCCAGAGGGGTCAGCCAGAGACACCGCAACCGGCCGACTAAGCGGCGTGAGTGTGGTGCGGTTTCGAAAGAAGGAGCGAGAAGCCCCAGAGTCAAGGGTGAAGGTGAGGGAGGCCGAAGCCGACGCAGTACCTGAGAGCGCAGACTCACGAGTACCTGAGGACGCAGACGCACTAGCACCTAGAGCAGCAGCGTCGCAAGCACCAAGGGCAGCAGCCGCACCAGTACCTAGAGCAGCAGTCTCAATGCCCGGATCGGGCGGGAAACACTGGTAACAGTCACCCTCATCACTAATAGTCTAAGAATACATGGCAGACAGAATAGCATCAAAATCAAGATCATAGATGGCAACTCCCACCCTAGACAGCTCGCCCTAGCGAGGGATCTCTGTGGCCTCAGGGAACGGGTGACGCCACGCGTCCGTCAAGCGGCCAAAGCAGCGCTGGGTGGGGTGCGCATCCCCACACTGCTCACCCGCACGGTCGCCGGTGCGCAGGACGTAGGTGCACGGACCAAAAACCCCACCCCGCTGGCGTGCAGTGTACCACTTACGGAGCTGCTGAGGGGACAGGGTCTCACGACCGCGCTGCTGCTGCTGGCGCGGACCACCACCGGAGCCGCTCCTCTGCGTAAACCCGCGACCAGCTCCACCGCCACCTCCGCCGCCTCCGCCGCCTCCGCCGCCTCCTCCACCACCGCCGCCTCAGCCACCACCGCCGCCTCCGCTACCACCGCCGCCTCCGCTCCCTCCGCCACCGCCGCCGCCTCCGCCTCCACTGCTGCCACCGGTATTCCCATCCCCTCCACCACTCCCACTACCACCCCCACTTCCTCTGCCGCCTCCACCGCCACCTCCACCGCCCCCGCCAGCTCCTCCAGCGCCCTTGCCCGCCTTGCCCTTGCCTGTGCGGCGCTTCCCCGAAGGGGCAGACGCAGCGCCAACCGACTCGAAACCAACGAGGTCGGCCACAGCAGTAGAAGCAACAGAGGGAAAGAGAGGGGAGGGAGAGCACCCCTCAAAGACCGGGGTGCGGGGGTCACCACGAGGCTCCTACAGCGTCTATGCTCTTCTCCGCCGCTACGAGGGACTTCTCGAGGAGGTAAATGGTGAGAGTGGTGGGGCACACTGCGAGGAAGTGGTCCCTGACTACTCTAAGGGAGTCAGGGAGTCGGGTGACTTTGACGTAGAGGGTGATGTACATGGGGGGGGGGGGGGGGTTCTTGGCGCAGAAGTCAGCAGGAAGCGCAGCGCGGTAGCGAGTGTCACTAGTGCGGAGGTGCGTAATGAGGTCAGCGACTGTGGGAAAGGCAGCAAGGTCAGGGAAGAGGTACGGCAACATGAGACGGCTCAGTGCAGCAGTGGCAGGGGAGGAGTAGCGTGCAGCTACAGCGTCGTACAAGGTATGAGCACTCTTGTACTGACTAAAGTGTGCACGCTCGGAGGTAAGGAGGTGGCGACGCACAGCAAGACGTGCAGAAGCGTCGCGTGTGGCCCACTGGGAACGAACAGTGGCGTCAGCATCAGCAGCAGGGGCAGGGGAAGCGCCAGAGGTGAGGTCAAAGAGAGAGAGGCCGTCTGCCCTATCGCACTGTAAGAACAGCTGCAGGTCATCTACCCAGACGTCAAAGTCTATGGCCCGGCCCTTAGCGTCAAAAGCGAGGACACTAGGGGTAGCCATGACCACAGTAGACTAGCAGTGCAAACAGTAGGGTGAGGGCAGTGCAGTGAAAGAGGCACTGTGCTCACCAGACTGGGCAGCTCGGGCAGCTCAGAAGTAGGGCGGCTCGGCGGCTTGGCTGCTGGGCGGCTTGGCTGCTGGGCGGCTCTGCGGCTCGGCTGCTGGGCGGCTCGGCTGCTGGGAGGCTCAAGCTTGGGTCTGGCCTACCCTCGGCCGCTGCTTTGGCACCATGGTACAGGCCAGGAGAGCTACCTCTGAGTGACCAATAGCCCCGCTGTAGGGACGTCGTTAATTCCTAGATCTTCCGCTGCGCTCTAGCGACTTCTTTTTTCCAACACTGTAGAGCACATACTCTCTAACAAAACCAAACCTGGAGAAGGCACCTGGAGTGCGACATGCGTCTCGACGGGAATTCAGCCCAGCGGGCAACAACCAACCGCCTTCACCCATTCGTCCCTCCCTCCACCCCACCCCATCCCATCAGTGCCACTTCCTACCACCACCACTCCCCCCCTACGCCCCCCCTGGATTCCCGCCTGACCTTGTTCCCTGCCCCACCTCCGCATGCACTCCCCGTTCCACTGCTTTCTCTCCATGCCGTGCCGTGTCTTCCGCCTTCACCGCTGCTTACACAAACCTCTACTCTCGGTTCGTTGTCTGTGCCACAACGATGTCTCCCGCTTTCGCCTAGCTGGACTCACCGGTAACTAATCAGGCTCTTTCCTGGCAATTAAGTACAACCACCACTCATGGTACACACTGTAGTGTACAGCCATGCCCCTCTTCACGCCTCCCCTTGTGCTTGTTAGCGGTTGCAATCGCTCCGTGACAGTACCCGCTGTTCCTATGGCTGTTCATTACCGCAGCAGGCGCCGGGTCAGAACGCGCCTCATACTCCGCGCGCACCCCTTCCGCCATTCTGCTTCAGCTCGACCGTCCTCGGCCTTAGACGCTCCTAACCTCGTGTCAACGAATTCAACGATCCGAACGTGGGGAAAACCCGATCATGCCGCTACTGTACTTAAACGTCCATCGCGAAAAAGGAAAGTTGCGATCTTTGGCCCCCGAAGGTTTTTCTGCATTGGCCTTGCGAGAAAGTTGCGGAAAGGTGCTTGAAAACACCGCACCCAAATCGCAACATTTTGCACATCAGAAACGCACAGCGTCATCGTACACACAAAAGTGACTTAGCTGTAACTTTTCCGCAAACATGTAGGAATTGCGAAGCGCACACCTTCATCTCGAGCCGCACTCGCAGCTCCAAACTCCTTCGATCCAAAATCCGCGATATAACTATGGCGCTTCGTTCATTCCGTCACAATACAACATGTGTGTGCACACTACGTTTGCTTATAGTCACATCAGCCAAAAATATTCCACCAACTCCCAATAAAATTGCGCACACAATAACAACCACAACTACAACATCAACAATGCGTCCCCCCTACGTACGGTACCGCACATAGTCAACTCCCACAACCAAACCCCACTACTGCCAGGCGCAGCAGTGGTCGTCATCACTCTCCAGCACTTCATCACTCTGCAGCACTTCTTTGGCTGTCCCGTCCTCAGCTCGCCCCCCCGCGCGTGCCCTCTTGACAGGCGTCCTGCATCGGCGGGAAATCACCTCCTGGGTCGTTGCTCCGACCTTTGCAGGCACAGCCGCTAGGGGGATGCCGAGCTCATCAGCACGCTCCACGTACGGGTTTGTGACGTTGCGTATCACGCGCCTTCTGCTGCGCTCGTCCCGCAGCAATGGGTTGTCCGGCAGGCTCATCTCGCCCGACGAGTCATCGGACGTGCTGGCAGCAGGTGTGGCTCTGAACCCCTGCTCCACGCATAGTCCCGCATGGCAGTTGATAAAATCCGCGGCCGTCATGTAACACGCATGCCTCACCTTGAACTTCTCGATAAGCAACTGCAAATCGGCGCATACCGAAATAATAGGCTCAAACATGCCGGTTGCGCACGTGTCACCCAGGTACGCCATTAGGGGCGGCCAGCTCGCCGGCATGCATCCAGCGCGCCACCAGCTCCGCTGCATAGTTGCCGCGTGCACACGAGTCCACGAGTCTCCCAGCCACTCGAGCATGTCATTATAGTCGACATCAGCGATGGAAGCCGAATAGTCGAACTGGAACCGCTTGGACCCTATCGCACACCTCATCAGCATAACGCGGTAATACGCCTTCAGCGCGTCACCCACTCCCTGCAGGTGCAGCAGGCCCGTCTTCGGAACCGATCCACGAATGTTGACGATTCGAGTGTTGGTGAGGTGCTGCACACTGAAGCCGTGCTCCGTGACGGGCGGCGCCATCTCGCCGGTGATGCGATGCGCCTTGTGAATGGTGAGGATGATGGTGTTGCGATCACGGCTGAAGTGCACACCATTGACGGTCTCCACAAACTCCGTGAACACCTGTGTGCAGTGAATACCACATAGCGATCACGTCACCATAGGCCATTGCGATACGCAAATACAATGAAGATGGGCGCGCTGCTGATGTACTCACACGTGCTAAGCACGTCCAACCATAAAAATGCACAATGCGCACTCATCCATACCTCCGGCATCAACCGCCCGCGGTTCGTATACCGAACGGCCACCTTGCGCGAGGCCGCGCTCGCCCACCGGCGCTCGGGCCTATTGGATGGCTCTAGGACCACCAGAGGCACCGCGGAACAACTCCCCGTCGCATTGTAGAGGATGCCGACGCTGACGATACGCTCCACCACATTGCGCTTATCCGGAATGTACGACTTCGGCAGCCGGCTGGGAAGAAAAGTAATCTCGTGGAAGCCGAACATGTCATCAGGGCGCGCAGTAGCAAGCAGGCCCTTCAGGTTACCCATTGTAACACACTGGTTATCTGGTACGCAAGTATGCAATGAAGTGCACACGACATCCTCCTATATATGTTTCATTTGACCGTAACGTACCCCCGGCTTGCCCTTGCATGCACACTATGTTCATTGGCCACACAACCAACCGAACACAATCCCTGCGCCGCACAGTGATAACGCACTCCTGTTATACGCCCACCTATAACGATCACATAGGACATCTCGCCCCCACGATGCCACGTACTCGTCACCCATATCCGAACAGCCAACTGCCTGAGACTGCGAGTGTGCACCACCATACATCGCAGATGTGCAACCCCGACTGCACAAGGAATAAGCGTACCCGTATGCGTTATAGGCTTCATATGCCAACCTCGATATTGCACACATATACCTGATTGCACGTCTTATCATCCGTTCACTGAGCGCACAATAACATCATCGCTGGATAACACAAGTTCCATCAAACCGCGCCTCTACACATAAAAACGCACTACGCATAGATTCCCCATGAAAAGTTCATCGCTGCAACCACTGCCTAATAACGCATTGCGTCACTCGCATAGTAGAAACCTGTTTACTAGCTGCACCTTCTTGTTGCTGTACGAAGGGCACACGTGCACAACTATCTGCAGGTTTTTCAGCTCCACCACCGAGAACCTCACATCCTTCACTGTCTTGTGCAACAGCGTACATCCCGTGAGCTTGCACCTCCCAGCCTTCTCATAGTACTGTCAATAGTATGGACTAGGAATGAGTGGACTATGAAAGAGTTGGGTACAAATATGTAACCCTAGAAGGGGTTGTACCCAATATTGGCTACCCCACTAAGCCTAGACATATATGGCATATCTAACATTTGACACACCCCCATAGGCAAAGTGGCAGAACAGTGATATATGAAAAACGACAGAACAGTGATCACTACATAACAAGTGCAGGCATGCAGGTATAAAGTATAGATCACAGTACAGACAAGGTCAAGAAGTAAGTAAGTGGGAGGACACAGGAATAAGGCCAAGAGCAGTACAGAAGCGCTGATGGTCACGAGGCGAAAGAGCCTTGGTGAACACATCAGCAGTGTTGGCCTGAGAGGCCACGTAGGCAAGACAAAGCTGACCACGCTGCTGCAGCTCCCGAGCAAGGAAGTAGCGAAGGGCGATGTGCTTCGTTCTGTGCTCCAATCGCTGTTCGCGACACAAGGCAAGCATTGCCTTGTGATCGACGTACAGGACTGGAGGAGAAGGAGGCGCCTCGCCCAGGTTGGTCAGCAGGTAGGTGAGCCAACGCAGCTCCTGTGCAGCCATGGCCCCTACGTAGATCTCAGCCTCACAACTAGAGCTGAGAACAGAAGACGAGCGGGTAGACCGCCAAGAAACAGAACCGGAGCCAAGGCTGAAGGTGTAACCCTGTGACGACCGTTGCGTAGCCAAGTCGTCAACCCAAGAAGCGTCTGCATGACCAGTGAGGACAGCTCGACCCCGTCCTCCAAGCACGAGCCCCATGCCTGACGTACCGCACAAGTAACGCATCACCCTCTTAGCTGCCTTCCAGTGCTCTGGAAGGTGTCTCCCGGGCGCAACGTAGCGTGCCAGGATGCTAAGAGGGTAAGCGAGGTCACGGCGAGTGCAGGTCATCAGGTACATGAGGCAGCCCACAAGCTCTGGATACGGGCCACTCAGCTCTATGGACTCATCCGAAGGCAGAGCTGAGAGCGAGTGACCACTAGGCAGAGGAGTGGACAGTGGTGAGGAGAACTGGAAGTCGAAGCGCTGAAGGACCTACTGCACCATGTATGACTAGGTCAGAGTGATGGTGCGGCGTGCTGTGTCCCGAGTGATCTGCAAGCCAAGATAGCTGCGCACCTCACCCAGGTCTGTGCACGTATGTCTCTTCTGCAGCTCCGACTTCACTAGAGTCAGTGCCTCAGTGTCAGCAGTAGCAAAGACCAAGTCGTCGATGTACACGAGGATGTAGAACGGCAGCAGCGAAGTGTCGGTGCGTAGAAACAGCGACGGGTCAGCAGAGGAAGGAGCAAACCCAAGAGCCGCAAGTGTAGTCCTCGGTGTGTCGTGCCACTCACGAGGTGCCTGGCGGAGACCGTAGACTGGCCGTCAGAGGCTCCACTGGGTACCAGGGGGAAACGACCCAGTGAAGCCAGGTGGGCGGCGCAGCCAGATCTCTTCGTGCAGGCTGCCCTGCAAGAAAGCTGTGCTGAAGTCAAGGGAGTGAAGCTCGTAGTCACGCTGGGCAGCGACGTGCAGTAGCACCCAAAGAGTGGTCATCTTCGGGGTGGGAGAGAAGGTCTAAAAGTAGTCAACTCCCTGTCGCTGACTGAAACCATGAGCCACGTAACGCGCCTTGAAGACAGGCGAAGAGCCCGGCGGCCGCTTCACCCTGAAGATCCACATGCCACTGACGATTTTCGCCCCAGGTGGGGGAACCTCGTCGACGTAGGTGCGTGTGGACTTCCAGGAAGCCATCTCTGCATCCATGGCTGCCTGCCACTGAGAGGAGTAGGGACCCTCAACCGCCTCTGCGTACGAGCGCGGAGTCGGGATGTCAAGTGCATCCAGGTCTCCCTCAGGGGCAAGCAGCATGGACACGAGATGAGGTGAAGCAGCAGCGAGACACCGGAACTCCTCCTGCCTGTCCTCAAGGACGTTCGTGCCAAGGGCACACTCACCCCCGACAGACGGAGGACAGACTGACTCAGACTCAGCAACAAGCCTGGCAGCGTAGTCTAGACGACAACGAGTAGCAAAGTCTACAAGCTCGGCAACTAGCGCAGACGCAACAGCGGACTCAAAGGAAGTCAGACAACAATAGCCAGGAGACGCGTGACAGTGGGACTAGGACCACGAAGGGAGTCAGACTCTGGGTCAGCAAGGGCAGGAAGAGAGGACTTAGGAGGAGACGGCAGAGGGACTTGCTGCGGAGCAGTGGAAGGATGCAGAGACATCCGCTGCGTACCGGGGACAGGAGGAGAACGCTGACGCGAACCACGAGCACCAGTGCTAGCAATACGGACAGGCGACACAAGACGAGACGCAGGCTCACGATGCTCAGTAAGACCTCCAGTCGGACCAGCGTAAGGAGACGGAGTAGGCAGTGGGGAGGTGGGCTGTAGCTGTGACGGCGACAGGACACGCGGTGGACACTCTAAGGAAGAGGGAGGAGCAGGAGAAGGCGGGAGGCCAAGAACCTGTTAAAGGAGCGGAACGAAGTACGGCCTTGGCCGCTCAGCACCCCCAGAGCCAATAACAGCACCTCTAGTAGCTCCAGCAGCTCCAGTACCCCCAGAGCCAGCAGAAGCACCACCAGTAGCTCCAGCACCCCCAGAACCAGCAGCACCACCACCAGCAGCTCCAGCAGCTCCACCAGCTCCAGCAGCACCTCCAGCAGCACCAGCACCCCCAGAGCCAGCAGCAGCACCACCAGTAGCTCCAGCACCCCCAGAGCCAGAAGCAGCACCACCAGTAGCTCCAGAACCCCCAGAGCCAGCAGCACCACCACCAGCACCACCGGCAGCTCAAGCAGCACCTCCAGCAGCACCCCCAGAACTACCGGCCCCGGCAGCTCGAGTACCCCTGGTACGAGCACCTCCAGGGCCTGCGGTAGCACTAGTGTCTCCAGCACCAACTGCAGTACCGCCAACTCCAGGACGCCTCTGCAGTTGCTGACGAACCGCAAACCACTCTCGCAGCTCCGCTGGTGTAAGGGGCCGGCGAGTAACCGGTCTAGCACCCTCAGGTTCAGCGCGTCCAGACTCTGCACCCTCCAGGACCTCTCACACCGGCACAGCACCCTCAGGCTCTGCTCTCTCCAGCACCTCACGCACCGGCTCAGCACCCCCAGGCTCCGCACCCTCCAGCACCTCACGCCGAGACTCAGCACCTCCAGACGCAGCACCTCAAGCAGTACCACCCGCAGCAGCACCTGAGTCGCTAGTGACCTCAACAGGCTCAGCTAAGGGGGGCGGGTCTACCTGAGACACACCTGAAGGAGCAGGACCCTGGGGGGGGAGGGGGTCTACCGGAGGGGGACCTGGAGCAAGGAAGAGCGGCGGGGGAGGGAGAGGAGCAGTGCGGTAGGGAAAGAGGCGGTAGAAAGCGACTGACTCGTCAAAAGTGACGTCCTGAGAAGACAGGACAGTGCGCGAGGCGGGGTGGTAAAACTGCCAGCCAGGCGTGTCAGTCGGAAAGCCAAGGAAGACACAGGGAAGGGTGCGGGAGGAGAGCTTGTCCGCGGACGTATCGCGAACAAGAGCACGGGCACCCCTGACCCGGAACACCGACGCATCTCCAACCTCCCTAGTCCACCGCAGTGTGGGCGAAGTCTCTGGAACAGAGACACGGGGCCAGAGGTTTAGCTGCTGTGCGGCGTACCTAACCGCAAACGGCCACAGAAAATGGGGAGCCGCCGCATGGATCAAGGAGGTACGAGCGATCTCCATGACCAGGCCAATGCGGCGCTCAGCAACCCCATTTTGCTGCGGTGAGCCCGGAAGCGTGTAAGACTGGGTGATGCCCTCCTCCTGACAGAAGCCGCGCAAGAGGTCGGAGGTGAACTCTTCGCCCCTGTCAGAGTGCAGACGCAGAACAGGGAGGTCGGTTTGAAACCTCCTGCGTAGCTGTAGACGAACCGCTCGGATCCAAGGGATCAGGACAGTAGGGACCTCACCCTTGGTGCGCAAGGGGAAGACCGTGGTGTAACGCGAGTAGTCGTCAATGACCAGTAGGAAGTACCGCTCTCCACCCCGTTCGCTGGCACGGGCGGGGCCCCACACGTCCATGTGGAGAGTCTGCAGCGGATCCTCTGTCGGAGGAAACGAGGAGGAGTGAGGAGCGGCGCGCTGCCGCCCCTCGACGCAAGGAAGGCAGGCAGGGGCAGGCGAAGCAGGGAGAGGAGGCAGGGTCCGGGGAAGACCAGACACGAGGACGCGACGGTGCATGTCACGAAGACAGGGCAAGGAGGGGTGGCCCAGACGGTGGTGCCAGAGAACGGTC